GGTGAACACATCTCCAGAATGTGGGCGGAGACCAGATTCCATACTCTAAGCGGCTTGGATTCAAATCCTGGCACTGCCACTTGGCCAGCTCTGGGGCCTGGGGAGACTCCAGCTCTCTGTGCCTGTCTTCTCATCTGTAAAATGGGGATAATGATAGGGTGTCATGGGACTAAAGGAGAGGCCGAATTTAAGGTGCTTAGAGCTGGTGCTCACTAGACAGAGGGCCTGGCACCGCGTGTGGCTCCTGGGAGCTGGTCACCAGTGCTTTGTTCAGCAAGGGGGTGTTAACCACGGACACGGCTGCCATCGTCGGGATCATCACCAACAGCAGCAGGGATCCCCAAGCCTGGTTTTGCAACCAGCCCTGGTGAAGGGTGTAGCAAAATTCTCCAAACAAAATTTGCTTCCATTCATTTTGGGTTTTTGAAAAGGCCACGTCAGACAGCTTGGCGGGGAGGAGGCGGCGTTGCGAAACCCAGCACAGAGGGATCCAGAGCCCCACTCCTCGGCTCAGGAAATGATGTGCCATCAGTTAGCAACAGGCTCCCGTGTGCTGGCACCCCCAGGGCTCCCGGGCTGTGGGCTCACCTCCTGCCACCCTCTGCGTGACCTTGGGAGGCCACCCAACCTCCTTGAGCCTCAGTTTCCTCATCTGTCAAATGGAGACAACATCCCTTTTCATTCCTACCCTTGCGGGTGGTGGGAAGATGCGGAGATTCAAGGTCTTCTGCAAACCGAGCCCTGTACGTGCCCTGAAGGCCTCCGTCCTGGCTGGGGGCAGCCACCGGCAGACGCTGTGGACGGGGTGTCGGGGTGTCGGGGTGTCGGGAGAGAACGCACCCCTCCCCCCACCATGGGCCACAACAAAAGTCAGGTCACATGAGTCTTAAAAGGGCCCCTCCGACAAGAATCCGAGGAAGTCAAAGGTGGGCTTGTCTTTGGTCCAACACACAGGAAGCCTCTCATCAGGGACTGCCTTTCCCAAAAAGGGTGCAGTGAGAGTTTGCATGATGGGGAGCCCCTCCCAACAGAGCCAGCCCCTGCACTCCCTTAACTGACAGGGCCAACTGACTGTTAGAAGAAACTGCTGAGCCTCGTCAGACCCCTGCTGGCCCCGGCCCCAGGTGCTAACACGCACTGCCCTCCAAAGCCACTAGAGCGAACCAAGCCCCAGCCTGGCTCCCCACACGCCCAAAGAAGAGGTAGGAGCCTCGAGAGTCCCTTCCTGGGCTGTTAGGATCACAGACGCCACACTGGGAGGGTGCAAGTTCTCTGAGATCACAAGGTCCAAGCTTGCACCGTATCAGGGGAGCCCCGAGAGGGGACACGCTGCATCCAAGGGCACACAGCATACTCACCATGCTGGCACAGCGCCCACCTCCACGACCAGCCTCCGGTGGCCGCCCCCATCCCCAGGCCCGCCCAGGATGTGGCTGCCTCCCAGCCTCATCAATGTAGTCCTTCCCGCCATTCTCCATCTACCCAAATCCTTCAAATCCTTCGGAATCCACTCCAGATCTAGTGCACGTCCTTCAGGAAGCACTTCCCTGGGCCCAAACTCATGCCCCTTCCCAGCACTGGACAGCACCAGCCTCCACCACCGAAGGGGCCTGGCGGGATGACTACAGTTCACAGAGCAGGGCCCCGTGGGTTTGACTCCGTCTCCACACCTGGGGGGCACCGAGCAGGTCTCGGGAAGCCCTGGGGGCCCAAAGACAGAATGGAGCATTAGGAAATGGCGGACAAGCTAGTGGACAAGCCAGTGACCTACTGAATGGAAAGTGAGCAGGTGATGATGTGGGTAATGAACCAGCAGAAATAAAACGTCAGGCCAGACACCCCCAAAGACACAGGCTCCTGCCCAAGCGTGGCTCCTCACTCTCCTGTAGAGCCTCTGGGGTCCCACAGACACACTGGAGTTTTAGAGGCCATGGACCTATAACCCCACAGAGCCTGGTCAAAGGCTGTTGAGTTTGCAGGCCCAGCTGGAGGCAGGAGCCCATATGGACAGTCGTGTTGACAACTGGACCTGGCCAAGGCTTTCACCATGTCCTACTGCCCAGCCCTTGACTTAGGATGGCCCAAACAGTGCTCATCTGTCCATTCATTCAGCCAAAGAAATGGACTGAGGGCCAGGCATGAGCCAAGACCTGTCCTTAGCACCAGTGGGACGGCATGAAAAGGCAGGCGTGACCCTGCTCCTCTCCACAACAGCTGCATGCAGAGGCGTCTGATAATAAGGAACAGTGACCAGGATAAGGAAGGCAGAAGCCCATAGGGGCTGGGAAGGTGGTGACAGGGAGACGATCTGGCCTGGGTGTCAGGGAAGGCTTTCTTCTGGAAGTGATGCCTAAGTTGAGATCTGGATGATGAGTAGTAATTAAGTAGGCAAATGCGGGGGGGGGGGGTGCAAAGACCCTGAGGCTGGAGGCAACATGGCCTGATCCAGGAACCGAAAGCAGGCCAGGGGGACCAGAGCCAAAGAGGGAGGTGAGGGGCTAGCGTGGGGAGGATGCTAGGCTTTATCCTGGGAGCAGTGGACATTTACTGAGTACCCGCGGTGTGCTTTTTGAAAAAAAAATCTGCATTCAAGATTTTATTAATGCACATTTCAAAATGTTTAAGTCGAGAAGTTTAAATACACTATAGTCAGATAATGCTACTTTTTAATGCTGTTTGGAATGAGTGAATCTATCAATTAATCACAGATATATGGGAGCATAAAGACTCTATCCCACAGAGTGCCCAGTACAATTCCTCTGAGGCTCCCCATCCCGTAGAAACACAGGCATTTAAGAAGCCAGTGGCCCAAAACTGCACAAGAACATAATGAGATGCCAGTGGGTGCCCCTGGTATGTCCAATTCGTCACTGAGTCTTACAAAAGCTCCAAAGTGCACGATCTATCCTCAGTTCCCAAGTGCTGTTCAGCCTCCTTTCAAAAACACCAACTCAGCAGCCAGGCAGCCTTGCGCCCAGGGCACAGCCCTCAGACCTGCGGCTCCATCTCAAGGCTGGGACCAGCTGGATGCTGCCCTGGGTCCCACAAAACTCAGTCATTAGGCCTGCTCTACCCCGCACTTTCTCTGCAGTCTGGGCCCTGCACTCCGCCCCAGCACCTGGGACAGGCTGCCTCCCCCCCCCCCACAGAACAAAGGCTCCCTGAGGGTGGGGACGACACCAGATCATCCTGTGTCCCTAGCGCCCAGCACAGGCCTAGTCCAGGCTCTGATGGAAGAACGAAGGAAGGGTGCCATGGACATCTCACACGTTGAGCCGTTGTCTCTGGGCTCCAGGAGGACCCAGGAGTCCTGGTGCGCACCCCTCCCACAACACCGGCACACGCACACAAGCCTGCCCCCACGTGCACAGCCAGTGGCTCCAGGAGCTGTGGGAACACACTCTGCATCTGCCGCTGACTGGCCTCCGACAGCCGGCTCGCCTCGGCTTGGCTCCGGGGCCTGGCAGTGGCTCCCAACACTCCAGCCACCAATCGGTCACCCAGCGCTGCGGCCCCACCCAGCCCTACTGCCACTGGGAGCCTGGCTCAGGCCTCTCAGGCCACCCTGGGACCAGACGGCCCACAGTTCCCTCTGTGGGACAGAAACTGGGCTCCTCCAACAGTCACTCTCTGAGATGATCCTGTACAACCTCGTTCCACCACCTTGAGCCTGGAAGAAAACACAGCCCCCTCCCACAAGTGAAGGCCCAGAGGCAGAGAGAGCCAGGACCCCAGGGAGCTAGGCTGAGAGTGGAGGTGCAAGGGGGGTAGAGGCAAACGGGTCCAGCCTCCCGGGTCTAGGGACTGCAGCCCCCTCCCCCTCTGTCATTTCCTCTTGCAGGCAGGTGGGGGTGCAGGAACCCCCCCACTAGCACGGCCCTCCAAGCTTGAGGCTTCCAGCTTCAGAGCACCCCATCCATCCCCTCACCTCCACCCCCATAACTGGCCTTTGCCAACCCATAACCCATTTCCCCATTTCATTTTCCCCCCACAGCATCAACAGTCTCTGGCCGCTGGTCCCTCTGCAACACAGGCAGCTCTGAGGAAGAAGGGGAGAAGGGAGAGGGACGAAAGCATAGAGGAATGGAAGGATGGAGGGGGATCGGAGCCGGTAGGTTTGGTCGAAAGAGGCCAGGGGCCATCATCACATGTCCAGGTAGCACATGTCCCCTCCCAGCAGGCCCTGCACATCTGGACCCAGCTGGCCTCTCCGGCCAGCAGGTCCACCTGCCACCGGCTCTGAACGCGAACCCCTTTCACCGCGGGGCGCTGCACGTGGGGGCCTCCCATGGCCATGTGAGCGCCCCCCCAGCCCAGGTGCTGGGGTCAGCCCGGCCCCTCCCGGGTATGCAAACAGGGAGGGGGCGCCATGCAGCGCTGGGGGGTGGGGTTGCCCCCGCCCCCTCCCCAGATGCCAGGTCCGGGAAAAGAGCTCGGGAAGGGGGGAGCTGGCTGGGCAGGATCCCGGGGCTACTGAGGCAGGACGGAGGCAGCTGGGCTAAATGGAGGAATGCCCCGGCCGGCTGGCAAAGCCCTCCCTCTCCTTAGCTCCAAGGTTGGTGGGCAGGGGAGGGGTCTGCCTGACCCCCTGGCCGCCCTGCGGATTGAGGGTCGGGGCCGAGGAGGGGCTCCCCAGCTTTGGCAACCCCTTGGCATGGGAGAGGCCACGGGATAAAGAGGTGGAATAGGGGTCCGACCCTGGATAGGGGGTTCCGGGCCCCAGCCATGCCGCCCTCCCCCGGTTTGGGGATCCAGGAAGACCTAGACTTGGGGATCGCACCCAGAGAAGGGGGCTTGCCAGCCGCAGAGCGGCCCCCTCGGATTGGGGGCTCAGAAGACAGAACTGGCAGGGGGAGGGGGATTTTTCTGCGCCAGCGCCTCCCCTCGGTTTAGGGAGGTCTGTCCGGGAGGAGACTCGGATTGGGGGTCTCGCCGAGGGACGGGGCGCACCGGCCCCGGAAAGAGGGTAGGGCCACCGCGCGCCACCCCCGCTCCCTCACCTGCGCCCGGCGCCTCGGCCGCCTCCGGCCCGCTCGGCCGCTGCGCTGCGCCGCCGCCGCTGCTCGGGTCCACTCGCAGGTCCGCCGCCTAGGCCCCGGCCGCGGCCCCGGTCCGCGGGCGCCCCATGCCTCTCCTCTGGCCGGCGCGGCGCCCCAGATGAGGCTGCGGGAGGAGGAGCCGCGCGGCCCCGGCTCCCCGAGAGCGGCGGGGAGGGGGCGGGGGGCGGGGAGATGCGCGCGGGGGAGGGGGCCGCGCGGCTGCGCCCAAAACCAGGCGCGGATCCAGCCACCCGCCCGGGGCTGGGGGGTGGGGGGGTGGGGGGGCGCGCCCTTACCAGCGCCCACCCCCACCCACGCCCCCGCAACCCGAAGGGGAGGGGGAGGGTCTCCGCCGCCAGCGACGCTGGGTCGCGAGGCGGAAGGGCGCTTAGAGATCCGCGGCCGGCCGCCCAGAGAGTGCAGGCTACTGGCACAAGGTCACACAGCGTGGGCTGCGGTAGCGCGGGAACCTGGAACCCCAGGCTACAGAGCTGGGCAGCAGCAACCTGTGTTGACGAGCTCCGGCCGGATGGAAGAGGGAAATTGAAGCCCACACTGGACGAGAATGGCCCAGGTCCACAACCGTGGAAGTCAGGAGGCTCCTGGGATTCGAACTTGGGGCTCCTGCACCTGGGAACGTGTGCCCCGTCCTGGTGACCCATTTCCTGCAGGTGCCTTCTCGCCTATGGCAGCATAGGGGTTAAAACAGTCCCTTGATGGACCTGGACTGTGTACTCATCCTACTTCTGGGGCTCTGTGATCATAGATAAGAGACTGCCCCTTCTGAGCCCCAGTTCCTCCACCTATAAAATGGGGAGAACACTAGTATAGTATCCACAACTTGGGTTGAGGAACCTAAGAGATAATAGATGGAAGCTTCTTGACAGGGCCTGACATTCAGTAGGTGTCCAATGGATGTGCTCACCCTCCCTGGTTCCCACATCACCCAAGAATGCTAGTTGAATGCAAATAGAGTCAGAAGAGTGTTAAAGGGTGGTGTTCGAAGCCAAGCATAGCCCATTTTTCCAGTCTCATCCACCATCTGCCCACCCTGCCCACATCTCCATCCCGGAAACCTCTGTTCCAGGGCTTCTTTGCCTTTCCCTGTGCCAGCAATGCCTTCCCACCGTCTCCACCCGAGAAATTACTATTCATCCATCAAAGCCCAGAGCAATCAGCTGTATGCCCCAGCTGCTCACACCCCCTCCCAGTCCATCCATGCCTCCCTTCACTATTCCCAGTGTCTGGTGTAGGTTTGTGTTTTTGAGTGCCTTGACAACCATGGTGACAGGAGGTCCCTCAGAGGAGATGACACCATGAGAACTAATTCTGCCCAAGAGAGCTCCCTGGAGGAGGGATGGCTTCAGCAGGGCCTGGAAGGAGAAGTGGGTTTAGAGCTCTGGGGGTGGGGGGAAGACAGTATGTGGCTGGCAAAGAGATGACTGTAGGTTTGGGCAGGGTGTTAGTAGGGAGGAGAACTGCCTGGAACACTTGGGGGGACCTTATCGTCTCAGCCGGGAGCCAGTGAGAGCCAGGAGCCAGGCAGGGACCTGGCACTATGTGGTCAGGTCAAAGATGAGTGGGCTTTGCCCTCGAGAATACCTCACACAGGGGTCCCAGGGGACTTCTACAAGCATGTTCAAGCGGTATCATTTGTAATAGTGGAAAGCTGGACACTACCTGACTGTCCATCATCGGGAGACAGGATAGATCGTGATGAATTCAGACAGTAGAAAATTCTCCATGCCACGATCTTCAAACAGGTGAATGTGAACCACACACATCGATGAAGATAAATCTCAAAAACACACTGTTGATTCAGTTTGTGAAAAATAAGAGTTGTACACTTATGATTTAGGTATGTACTCTTTATGTGAATTTTATACTTCAATACAATTTTTTAAAAATAAAAAAATATAAGGGGCACTTGGGTGGCTCAGTTGGTTGAATGTCTGACTCTTGACTTGGGCTCAGGTCATGATCTCAGATCGTGAGATCAAGCCCTGCTTCAGGCTCCGCACTCATGGAGTCTACTTGGGATTCTCTCTCACCCTTTCCCTCTACCCCGCCCCCTGCTCGCACATGCGTGCTTTCCCTCAAATAAAAAAATAAAATCTTTTTTTAAAAATAAAAAATATATTGTTGGACGAAAAAAGCAAGTTGCAGATGGAAAACACAGTTTGATGGCAGATACATAAAATTTGAAAACATGCAACACAATACTATATATTGTTTAGTGACACACACATTTGTAATACAAGTGTAAAAACACATACAGGAGTGGGATAAATAGCAAATTCAAAATGGTAGTGACCCTGAAGGAAAGACGGAAGGGAATGTAAGGGGACTTCAAATACACTTGAAATGGTTTCTTTCTTTAAAAAAAATATATTTTTGGGGCGCCTGGGTGGCTCAGTTGGTTAAGCGACTGCCTTCGGCTCAGGTCATGATCCTGGAGTCCCTGGATCGAGTCCCTGGATCGAGTCCCGCATCGGGCTCCCTGCTCGGCAGGAAGTCTGCTTCTCCCTCTGACCCTCCCCCCTCTCATGTGCTCTCTCTCTCTCATTCTGTCTCAAATAAATAAATAAAATCTTTAAAAATAAAAATAAAAAATAAATTAAAAAATATGTTTTTTTAATTTATGAGAGTGAGAGAGCACACACACTCGTGTGCAGGGGGGAGGGGCAGAGGAAGAGGAAGAGAGACTCAAGCAGACTCCATGATGAGTGTGGAGCCCGGGCGGGGCTTGATCTCAGAACCCTGGGATCACAACCTGAGTCAAAACCAAGAGTCAGACGCTTAACCGACTGTGCCACCCAGGTGCCCCTTGAAATGATTTATTGGGTGGTGGGTACCTGGGTGTTTGTTATACTGTTCTCTAGACTTTTTTGAGAACATGAAACATTCATAACGTATTAATACTGTTTTTTTAAAGAAAGTCAGGTGGTGCCTGGGAAAGTGACTGGGAGCCATTGCTGGTTCTTGAGTGGGGTTGTAACATGGTGAGTGGACCAGAAGTGGCAAGACTAGAGAAGGAAGGTCAGTGGAGGTGTGTGTGACAGTCTAGGAGAGAGGTGTAAAGGCTTGAATGGGGACAGGAACAGACTTATGGGGAGGCAGGGAAGGACGGGAGAGATTTAGAAGAGTAAACACTGGTGTGCTTAGGCAAGGTCACAAAATTAAAAGCCGACAGGGCCTGGACAGGTAATGTAAGCAGGGTGTGAGCATGAAGTCATGGGGACTGGTAGGTAGAGGCCACCCCAGTACCAGCTAATTGTTGCCATGTGGGAAAGGAGGCCCAGTAAGGCCACATCTCTCTCTCTCTCTCTTTTTCTAAGGGAAATCAGCAGCTCATATATTTTTTTAATGCAAAATCTCCTGAGTTTAAATCATGGCAACTAAATTGAAAAAAGAATTAACTCTGTAGGGGCCAAGCCATTCTGGTTTGCAGTCCCTTCAATGAGGAAGAGACTCAAGGAGACAAAATGAAGGGACCAGGGCACCAAGTTTTCCTGCCTATGAGGCTGAAGAAGCTCACAGCCCATGCAGCAGTCAGGGAGGGCTTCCTGGAAGAACTGACACTAGGCCGTGAAGGGAGAAGTTAGTTCAGGCTGAGAGAATAGCAAGTATAAAAGCAAGGGCTGAGCTGAGTGAGTCCAAAAGAAAAACTAGCAAAAGACACCAATAGGGTGTCTCCCAGAAGGGGAACACATGGCCAGTAAACACACGAGGAGGTGCATGACCTCATTAGTCATCAGGGAAATGTAAATCAAGACTATGATGAGATGCTACTTCATACCCATTCGACTGGCAAAACAAGACAGTCTGACAATACTAAGTGTCAGTGAAGATGTAGATCAATGTAGCTTTTCTATCGGCTGAGGGGAGGTGGGGGTGTGCAGATAGACCACTGTGACCCAGCAAATCCACTCCTGGACACGTGCACCCAGAGACACCCACGCACATGCATGCTCAGCCAGTGCTTCTCAAACTTTAATGTGCATGGAAATCATCCAGGGATCTTGTAAAAAGGTAGATTCTCCTTCAGTGAATCTTGGGCAGAGCCTGAGATTCTGCATTTCTAACATGTTTCCAGGCTGTTGATCCTCAGACCACATTTGGCAGAGCATTAGGAGAAATGCACAAGAATATCCATAGCAGCAGAAATCCTGACAACAATCCAATCATCAGTTGACAAGAGAATGAACAAATAAATAAATGAATTGTGGTATAGTCATACACAGCTTCAATATGAATGAATCACAACTATACTCAACAACATAAGTAAATCCTCATCAATATAGCATTTAGTTAAAAAAAAGATTATGTACTATTTTTATTTTAAAATAAAATTTATAAGTAAAAATGCCTCATTTAAGCATTTGTACATGTAATAAAACTAAAACAAACTAGGGAAATAGAATTCAAAATTCAGAATATTAATGCCCTCAGGCAGAGAGCTGGGACCTCAGGAAGGACCCTGGAAGAGAACAGAATGACTCAAACCAAGCAGAGTCCGTTTGGCAGCAGATAACTCGAGCCCTGGGTAAGGACCAGCTCTGGTAACGACTAGATCCAGATAGTGACCACATTGAGCTAATGATGAGACTTGGCTTATGACCAAAGGAGATAATGTCCAGATCCATCACGACCAGATGTGGGGATGCCTGGCCCCAGAGCTATTCTCCAGGTCAGGCTCTGGACAGGCTGGGCAGGCCCCTTGGGGAAAGGGAGAGGGGTGAGCTTCCCAGAGCCCCCACAGCCAAGTGTTGGCCTCCTCCTCAACCCACCCTATATCCCAAACTTGCTCCTAAACAGCCTTTGGGTCTAATGCGTCCTCCCCAATGCTCTGTCTCGCCCCGGCTCAGCCTCTGCATCTCCAACTTGACCACTACACTGGCCTTTTCCCATGGCTCCTCCTCCAGTCTACCCCCTCCCAAACCACCCTCCACACCAGCCACACAGAGATCTTTCTATAGCAAGGATCTGTGTCACCCCTCTGCTTAGAACCCTGCATTGGCTCCCTAGCACTTGGGGAGAAAGTGTGAACCCTTTAGCCAGGTCTTCACAACCCTTCACCATTTGGTCTTTGCACTCTTTCCTAATTCAGTTGTGGTCAAATC